AGAAACGACGCCGAAGCATACGGAAATTACGACAACGATGACAATGACTACAGAGAAAACAAGTGAAACTTCAATAATCACATTGTCGCCAAAGTACACGGAAACTACGGCAATGGAGACAACAACTGCAGAAGAAACAAGTGAAACTTCAATGATCACAACTACTCAAGATACACAATCAACAGTTGAAACTTTTTCACCCTTCTCTCACGTAGAAACAACTACTACACTGAGTACTGAGAGTACTTCGGAGCTTTCAAGCGAGACAGTTCAGGAATGGAGAACTGAAACCATTTCTTATTCTGACCTGGTGCTCGATTCTGAGGATGATACTTCATCTACTGTGGGAATCACGACAAAAATATTCACAACAGAAACAGTAACATCCACAGAAACGTCTTCAGCAAGTTATTCTCCATCTGCAGCTGAAACAGAAGATGCAGGAACTACTACGGAAAGCGATCTTCCGACAACAATAAATACATTTTCTGCATCTGAAAGTTCGACGCCACAAAAACAACATCAACTTGAAGAAGATTCAATTTCCTCGTTTCCAGTCAGTTCCACAATGAAAACCAATAAAGAAGAAACAACTGTGCAATCGACATTTGCGGAGACTGAGATTCACTCTACGGAAGATCCACTTTTTTCCACTGAAACGCAAATGCAAAGGCTCCAAACCGATGAAAGTTCCACTTCAGAATTGTCAAATAACAGTTTTATGGAATACATTACAGAGAAATTGACAACGTCCACCGAAACTGCGTCAAGCAAAGGCGAGGAAACTCTTTCAACACTTGAGTTAATCTCTTTGTCCGAAGCAGAAACTACGATGGCTCAAACCAGCAAAAGGATTTCAGCAGAGGTCCCAGAAATCAGCACAAACGAAGAACTCGTCACAACCCCAAGAACAGAGACATTTTCTGCAACTACTAGGGACACATTTACGCCTTTACAAAATCTCACTGCTGGAGAAACTCAAGCCACTGATGGAATCACTATTACAATTCTATCAACAACAGCAGATCAAGACGGTATTATTTTTAAAAATACAATTAATTATAATAAGATCATACGCTTATGTAAAGGAGTTATGAATTAAATTTTCTCATTCATGTCACAGGGATTAAATCTAGTCAACCTGCTGCATCAACGGAAACCCCTCAAACGGAAACATTTCAAACTTCGACGGAATCATCTGCAGAAAAAACGCAGGATCCAAACACTGAAATGATGACTGAAACTTCTTCAAGATCTAGCCTGAGAGCAGAAACTTTGAATACTGAGCCCACAGAAACTACTGAAGAGCCTACATTTACATTTGCCTCAACAACAGCTGCAGTTTCAACAATAGTCAAACGTTCTGTGAATCCTTTCCTGGATAGAAACTTCACTGAAGCATATACAACTCCGGCATCCTGGAAAACAATTTCCCAGTCAGATGAAACGGAATCAACGCTTTTAAATGTGACTGATGACACAACTTTAATTGGGGCCGAAACATCTTCAATTTTAACAACAACGACTGATGAAATTGTTGATAAAAGTGAATCTGCATCCGGTACTGTACTTTCCACAAGGGTTAATCAACAGACTGAAACTGTTAGTGCGTCCGAAACTGAAACAGTATCAAGAATCATCAAAAGGAACACCAATGTGCAAGATTTTTCAGAAACCTATCTTATTGACACGAATACCGTTACTGGGACTCAAAATGAAAATGTGAGCAATCCCATAAGCACAGAAACAAAGCCTTCTCCGCAAATTTCAACAACTATTGGTGGAACAGAAACAACCTCAGAACCGCAAAATGTTCCAGCGTCAGCAGAAACATTTCCAGGTGAATTTCCAGAAAATATTCTCTCTCTTGAAGCTATAAGAAAACTGTCTCCCGAAATTCCAAAGAAAATGTGACCATTCCTCCGGAAATTCATCACGAGAGCACAAAAACAATACAAGTGGATGGAACATTGACAACTTTGTCGCAACAGGACAATATAACAGACAGCCAAATCTCCACAATTTTGGCAAATGCCTCTTCAAGAACCATGTCTCCAATGTTGCTCAGCAAAACGACACTATTCGTGACGAATGAGTCTCCAGCAGGAACAACAGGTGACATAACGAAACTCATTTTGCATTTGGGAAGATTTCTTTTTTTTTGGATGCTCAGCAAGAAAACACTGCATTCAGGAGCACGTCAGAGGAGCATTGAGCACTTCGATCATGGCCTGCTTAGAAGTTGATGCTAGTTGGATGCATTCTTAGTGACAATTTTTCTATAGAAAAGAAGAAATCACATTGTAGGTATATGAAAGGAGCAGTTTGCGATTGTATTACAAAGATTTATTTTTCTAGACTGAAGCACAGCAGTTGTATTCAGAAATATTTTAGAGTTTATTCACTGCATTCGAAAATGCCATTTTCTATATGAAATTGTCGCATGTATTTTCCAGAATTTCTCACCATCATGAACGGAACATCCACTTTCCATAGTGGGCAAACTGCTGCTCTGCAGACTGCATCAATATCTGTTCCACTCATTGGGACTTTGTGAGTTTTTTGTATGACACTGTTAACAACATGAAACCTTTTGGGCAGCGCTGTCAAGATTTATTTGCACAATTTTATATTGCAGGTAAAAATACGTTAAATACCTAACATGATCAGAAGAGGCGAAGTCCGAAAGAAAATCCCAAATTTTTTACTCTGCTGACAAATATTTTTCCGATTTAAATTAATTTACTCCTGGGTGGCATTTTTCAACATTCCTGTCATAGAATTAGCCATGGGGGGGGGGGTTCATAAACAATGGTTTTCACTTTCGTTGATTTTTCTGGATTTTGGCCAACATCATAGCCATACCAGAAGTAACCAGAACACACACAAGCGTGCAACAAATTTCCAGCACCGCTGCTCAATGGAAATTGACGAATGATCAAGGGTTAAACATACAGTACTGAATTTTTTTATTCATTTTTTAATCGTATAATCATTATACAGGGGAAACTTGAGCTGTTATTCTTGTAAGTTGAATTTCCGGAAATCTCCTTACGACCGCAACGATCCATGTCTCGGAAGGCACACGGACTTGGACCCAAACTACATTGTGCATTGTGGTGCAATGGACAGATATTGTGCTGTAAGTTTAAGTGAACTTTTCAAAATACAGTATTTTGGACATGGGTGGTCTCTCTTTACAATTATTATCTTGCCAACAATAATTATCTCTCTATAAAAGACTTTTTCGGTCCCATGGCTCGTTCTCTACCCGCGTGTTATAAAGGTTTTTTACAATGACATTCCCTCTATAAGCCAGTTTTTCCTTGTACCGTGAATTTTATTTTAGTGAGAGCCCGCCTGTATTCGATGTAATGATTTTTTTAAACCCCCAGAAATATTTCAGTGAGGAATAAACTTTTTTTTTTTTCTTGTAGGTCTCAACAACCGAGGTGAATGGTGTTTTAGTCCACCTCCAGAGAGAATGCACTGACGTGAGCTGCTTCATTTATGCAGTGTAAATTATTTATGAAATTTACTAAATTATTTGGAATAATTCCCAGGAATGTTATTATGGCTGCCGGGACAAGGGATTTGGAATTCGATACTTGACCTGTACCGTATGCTGCAATGAAAATCAAGCATGCAACGACATCTATCCTTCAAGAGAAGATTTTATGCCTATTATTGCGAACGAATTGAGGATGTACACAACTTCTAATTCTAATTCCTTGAAATTGTCTGCAATGGCATGGATCACATTTTTCTTTTTTTCACTCGGTTTGAGGCAACTTTGATGATGCATTGTTGTACTGTACGAAAAAAGGCACACGGTTGTCCGAAGTTTTGCTTGTGGATTTCCTTTGCAAGTTTATTAAGCTGAAAGTGACAAAATAAATCAATACCGAATTGATATGCAATCCATGAGAGTATTTATCACTTGCGTGAACATCATTAATGCTGAAAATTTTCATTTTTCAGCACCTCAGTATTTTAAAGTCTTGGATGTTTGATAAATAAAATAAGGGTTGGAGAACCAACAATTTTCTCAACACATTAATTAATATAACTTAATAATGTACAGATGAAACTTGATACCTTGAACCTCCCTATAAGCTGAATATCAGCCCAAGTTGTTTTTTTATCTGAAGACCTGTCTGAATTCCCTTCAAAACAATGCATTAAAAACCTCTCTAACTCAAGAGCTAATTTTCCAAAACCTCTCCAACTCAAATTTTCTGAGACCTCTTGCCTATTATTTTCTTGTCCAAAAGATAAAAGCAATAAAAAAGTAATGATGTGCTTTGAAAAGAAGTGAATGACTAATCGGAAAAATAGATTGCTGACTTGAAGTTCAGCATCCTGTCAACTCATTTAAGAAGCAGTTAAATGCCCAGAATATCACTATTTACAATTTCTTTAAATTCTTCCATGTTTCTCACAACAAAAATGCTTGGTTCCCTAACTTGGAACCTCTATAACTCAGAACATTCCTAAGTCAAATTTTTTTTCTGTTCCCCTGCAATTCGACTCAAAGATGTTCAACTGCACAATTGAGAATTTTCTATACTCATCATTAAAAATCTGGAGTATTTTCATTTCAAATGCGCCCAGAAACAGCTCAGACCTTTTGGTGGCACATTCTTTACGAAGAAAATTGAAATTTGTTCATTCTTGGCAGAGTATCCTGTCATTTGTCCCTCTTCTGAATTTGAAAGGCACATTTCTGGTTGTGTCCTCATCTATTTGTAACTTTTTGTCATTTACTGCTTATTCCTCTGCAGCCATTTGTTTGTCAGCGGTTTTTTTTCTTGACTTCTTCTTCCACGCTCTTTCTCCGCTTTTTTTTTTCTTCCTCTTCTTTTGATCTAACTCTTCATGCAACTTATCTTCCTCGACTTAATAAACTGCTGCTTCTTTGTCGTACTGTATTTCCTCATACAGATGATCCATTAATTCTGAAATTTGTCGAATATCTGATTTTACTTCTAAACCTTATGACTCCATTTCTTTTTCTTTTTCTTGTGTTTCTTCTTTCTTTTGGGTGGCTCATCATCATCAATTTCCTCATAATCACTTAATGCCTCCTCATCACTGTCTTCCTGTTCTTCTTCAGCGTCTAAAACGGTTGCATCTTCTGGTTCTTCTTGAGTTCGTGGAGTATTTAGAACAGTATTGTCTTTGTGGGATGAAAAATCTGCTTCTGTTTGAGGATCATGGTCTGTAGGCTCAAGCTCATTGAGTGTTCTTACTCTTGCATCATCTTTTTGTTTGCTAGAGTTATCACTTGGGGATGCTGATCTCACAGCTTGTGGCTCCTTGTCTCCATGAGCTCTTTCTTCTTCCGAATCTTCGTGTATTTCTGCATCTTCTTCTGTGGCTGCATTTTCTTCATCTGTTGCATCTTCCCCAGCTGGAGGTTCTTTGTTGGACACTAGTTCATCTTCAGTATCAGCAGCCTCTTTAGTTGTGAGCTCCTTTTCAACTATTGGTGTTTCATTGGAGGGTTGTTGGTGGATTAATGAGGTTTTATCTAAAAAAAATTTGTATCAATGTTTGAATAAAGGTTTTTGTCAATGTAACCAGAGATTTCATGAATTGACTCACCTGATTTGGCATTTTCACCAAGACCAGCAGCTTCTTCGTCATATCCTTTTTCAGCTAGATTTTCTTCAAAAAATAATGTATCAATGCCTTGCAGATATTCGTCTCCGTCTAATAATTCTCCAGAATCTGGAAATTCTTCTTCAGCTGCTTCAGTTTCGAGATTTTCTTCTTGATCTGCTCCTTTTTCTGCTAAATCATTCTGTTCAACAAACAAATTAACAATGCCTTGCAGATATTCGTCTTCATCTGCTAAGTCTTTCCCTGGAAACTCTTGTTCAGCTGCTTCTGTTTCAGGATTTTCTTCTTGATCGGCTGACTCCTCTTCTGCGGCTTTCATTGATTTGGCCTCAGCATCCTCATCATTTTTGGCATCATCGACTGTATTCTCTTCATCATCATTATTTTGCTCCTCCATTTCAGAATTTTCTTTATTTTCATCTGTAAATATTTCTTGCGGTTGTAATTCAGAAGACTTATGTTCTGGATTTGTTTCTTCGGAATCTTGCCCTGCGATGTAACCAACTCCTCCGGCAACACCTGCTGCTGCTGCTGTACCTGCTATTCCAAATGCCATAGTTTTCCCAAGACTGCTTTTGTTTTTGCTTGAATTATTCCGAAGTGCCTTTTTGTATTCTTTTGCTTTCATTCGCGTACCGTTTTGTTTTAAATGATTGGGAGAACTACTTCCAGTGTCAACTATTCCTAGTGGCTTTGTCTGACGATGACTTAGTTTGCGCCCATAAACTCCATGTGATGGTCTTCGCATTTTGGCTGCTGATGTGGGTTTTTTAATTACATCTTGTTGGTCACGGGATTTTATGCCTGTGTTGTCAATACTCCTGTATTTTCGACGTTTATTTTTCGATTCCGAGTGTGTATTTTTCGATTCCTGGTTGGTACAAGGGCAGCCTGAAAAAGAGTAAGAAATACGTTTCAACCAGGATAAAATGTTCGTGTAGTCGAAAATATTTGTAGTTTTGGTGACAGAGATTTGAAATTTATGGATACCTGTACTTCGTTGATTGCCAAATACTCCTGAAAGTGCTGAAACTTCAAAAATTCCGATCACAACATTTATTGATTCTTTGTACAATGCGGAATGAAACCTTTGCTCAAAACGTATCCAACGTTTCAACTGTGGAATGCAATTACAGTACTAATATACTGTATACGAGTCATCGGGATTATCTTAGTCATTTGAAACGGAGATATTTTACTGAAAAGTTTCCCCCGAGTGCCGACTAAAGAAGGACGATTCAGATTTTTCATTTTTTAAATTTGGAGTGGCAAAAATTTAATTGCTATGCATAACCGCATATTTAGTCACTATTCAGATGTCCAGGAAGATTTCCGTATGATTTCGAAGCTTCAATAAAATTCATTGACTAACCTCCAGTGTCCCGAACTCGTTGGTCAAAGTGCTGTTGGGCAAATATTTTCAAGTTGATCGGTTTTCTCTTCAAAACCTCTGAGGTGAAGTCCTCCAGACATTGCTCCAGTCCAGGTGGTAAGCTCACTTTGACAAATAGTGAGAAAGTTTTGCTGTCGTCGCTCATTTTCAGTAATTAAAAATGAAGGAGCTTGATCATTTAAAAAAATGGCTTTCTATGCTGTTACAAAAAGCTCCAGTTCTACAACAACCGGATTCTTATGGAAAATGTGAGTATTTTCCTGAGAAAACATGAAAGATTCAGGCATTTTGAAGGAAAGAAGATTCTAATAACTGCGTTTTTTTTTACGGCGTGGGTCCAGAAAGCCAAAAAAAAAATTATCGAAGGACATCACGATGCGTAAATCCATTGTACAGTACGTGCGTTGAACTGATGGTGCATCTGAAGAAAGAAACTACTGTACTTCGTACCTCGGGAAAAAATCACTTTATAACTTATTTATTCATCGCCCTATAAAATTTTCGTACTTCACGAGAAAAATCCTGACGAAGAAGAACTTGTCATACGAACCGCAAAAATGTAAAAAATAGGCCTAGGTCTTAACCTACGAAGCAACGCCACGGTTCTGTTGGGTTCGCATCGCAGAATTTATTTAGCACACTCGCCAGGAAAATGAGGGCATCACCGCCATTGCGAGCGAAAAGTGACCCCGTTCGAGGTCGATTCCAGGCACAGCCTTTCATATTTCCTGCCCCCTATTTCTGCCGTTTCGGTGTACTGTATTACGATATAAATTCACCGAGGCCCGGTTTATTGGCGTACCCCGCCGGGCCGAACCCACATGAATGGATGAACACCTGGGTTTTCATCGGTTGCTGGTGAATTCCCGCATGGGATCGATAATATGTAGCTATAGTGTATGAAGGTTATCATTTCCAGCAGTGACCGTTTGCGTCCTTGTGCGAAAAGCGACGCATCATCTGAAGTACTGTATAATCGACATAAAATTTCCGATGAACATACCTGTACAGTATTTCTTTGATACGCATCGAGACGATGAGTCAAACATATAAACATTATATTTTCTGCAAGCAAAAAACTAAAACGCCGTCGCACCCACTTATGGGTCTTACCCAGCAAATAATTTTGCCATTGCAACCTGCGTTGCAGCTCCATTGGCAAGCCATTTTGACCCAAACGTTGGGCTAACGGCTGTTTGGTCACTGTCAAACGGCTGGGGGAGCAGTCGTTCCCTGGGTCGTTCTCAAATGCAGCCAGCATGCATTGCCAACGACCCCTGTTTCCCAGCATGCATGCAACCACCCCCCACCCGCCCTTTTAATTACTGTTGTACAATCCATTCAGAAACCCATTGCACACCCATTCTGAAAACGACCCCAGATATGCATGGAGCAGAAAAAAAGAAAAATAAATTCCCATTCAATTGCTGCTGTTTTCTTCTTTACTTTGCTTTCTCTGTATTATCCTCTTTCTTCTTTACTTCATCTCTGCTGTGCTTTCCATTCACAATATTCTTTCCTGCTGCTGCTCCTTTGCTTTGAATCTGCTGTCCTGATGATGCTCCTGCTGGGTTTTGAACTGGGGCCATCTGAGTGAGAGTCAGTCACCTTCACATCTAGCTATGGGCACACAAGCTAGGTACAATGCAAATACTTATGGTACTTATACTAAAATGAGGTATTATCAGATTAATTTAGAAAATTTGGATCTGGAGTGTAATCAGGTTTGAAAGGAGTTCAGGAAATCATTTTTTGTGTAAAACACCTCACCAACATTTCTATCATGAATCAGAAATGATCTGAATCATATCAGAAATGTTCAAAGTTAATGTACTGTAAAAAATGCAGAACCAAATACATTCTTGGAGCAAGATCATTGAGCTCCAAAGAATTGCAATACACTGTTGAACATAAAGCAATATCTAAAATGATCTTCAAACTTTGAAGATCTGTAAAAAAATCCCTAATTAAGATAGAAGGGAGTTCAAAAAAAGCAAATGTTCCTTAAAACAAGGGCTTTCTTGACATTTGATCATATAATACGGGTTTTAATTTAAAAGCATTCTCCATCAATTTTTGTGTGATTTCACTACATTGCATGGCATGTGATGTGGAGCGATGTAGAACAATGTACAACAGTTGAACATCGTTGTACATCGCTCTACATTGCTCCACATCGTTTTACATCGCTCTACATAGTTCTACATTGCAGTACATAGCATGTCATGCAGTGTAAAGCTATATAGAACAATGTAGAATGATGTTCAAGTTGAAAATCATTCTACATTGCACAAAAAATGAGATATAGTGATTCTTATTTGAATATCATATAATCTAATGAATAAGCAAGGAAGGCCTTGTTTTAAGGAACATTTGCTCTTTTTGAACTCCCTTTTATCTTAATTAGGGAATTTCTTACAGATTTTCAAAGTTTGAAGATCATTTTAGATTTTGCTAAATCTTTTTAGCAAAATTTACAGTTGTGCTCAACAATGAATCAGCAATGTTCAAGTGAACATTGCAGGTACATTGTCTCAACTAAGACTTGAATTTCAAGGACATTTCAGTTTAAATTGGCAAAATTGATATTGTCTCCAATTATATTTTAATGTTTATATATGTGTACATTGCTAATGTGTTGGTACTGCATTGTTCCATGATGCTCTGAATTTGGGTGCATTTCATTGCCCACAAAACATTGGGAGTACCATTCCAAAATACACCATCCCTGCATTCTGGAATGGTACTCTCAACAAGGGGAGAATTTTTATTGCTCAGGAAACATTGGGAGTACTGTTCAAAAACGATTCTCAGCATGGCTTCTTCTCCAGCCATGTTCTGAATGGACTGCCAACGAGTCTTGGAACGCTTCCCTGAGAATGCCACAGCAGGTCGTTGGGCTCTGCTCCCAACCATTCTGAGAATGGGTTCCGGAACCCATTGGCAGTCCATTTCCTTAACGGTTCACACCCCAACGCCCCCATTATTTGCTGGGTATACTGTATACTGAAGTCTGCCGCATTCTACGCAGAAAAAATGTATAATGGGATTTAAAATAATACTTTTTTGTGTTAAAAATGGGTTGGCCATCTAGAAAATTTGAGGATGGTTCACATCCGTCTGCTGACAATTACAGGCAGGAATTAGGATCGGAATTATTTGTGATAAATGTCCAGCAACACTACGATAAGTATCATAATTCTTGAAGTTACCTTTGTTTATTGGTAGAACACAATTCTTGCAGTTAATTTTCTCTATTAGTAAAAAATAATAGAGAAAATCTTCTTGACGATTTTCTGCTCGGGACATACTAAGATCAGAAAAATCACGTTTCTCTCTATAATAAATTTGTTTCTGACGAATTCGATTTCAGCCGAAATAAAAAAAAGCTAATCGGTATGGGTTTGAAATTGAATTAAATGATGAATCTGCAGATTTCAATAAAAGTATTGCTTTTTCTTTGGATCAGCATTCTGTATAATGGATGCACGGGTTTGTAGAGGAGCAGTCATCAAAATTTGATCAGTAGAAAAGCAAATTATCCGGTTTGCATTCCATTCTCTGTGATAAATGTTCGGAAATATAAAATGCGTTACTACCCCATATCTTATACTGTACATTTTTGAAAGCAGCATAATGATGCAAATTTCCGATCGTCTGATGGTCTATAATACACGCTGTTCGGAATCGACGATTCCGAAGTGAATTCGCGATTCAGTACGCAAAATTATGACTAAAGACGAAATGATAATTTCGTACCATTATGTCGTCATGAAAATATCGATCAGCTTGATCGATCAAAAGTCATAAAGGCACTGATGTTTTCGTCCTGAAATGTCAGTTATTCTGTAAAATGATAATGATGGGATCCATGTATCGACTTATGATAGCACCTTTTTGTTGAGTGTTATTGGTATATGGGCATTTATTTTCCGAAGACCATATACAGTATTTGTACCCAAATGTTTGAGCTCATTGTCAAGCAGGGTTTAAAAGCAGGAAGAATGCAGGAAATTTTCTTGCAGTCTCATGCTCACCAAAACAATTTAAAGTTCCATCATCTGCTAAAAACCGGATTTAGAATTGTGGAACTGCTCGGCTTTCATCCTTTCAACATTGAAAAAGACGAGAAGAACCCGAACAAGCTTTTTTTGAAGTGGAATAAAAGGGAAGTGTTTTATAGTATCATGTTGCACTCTTGCGTCATGATGCCGGGATGTTATTACTTTTATTTGTGGTGCATCATGATGATGGAACCACACTCGTCACCACAAGTACCATGGGAAAATCTGAACATCACGCTTATATTCCTGAACTTATCCACCGTGATAACGTCGTTCCTCCTGACACTGAGCATATTATTCAAGTTGGACAGTTTCAGAAATCTGCACAACGCCCTCATCAATTTCGACCTGATCCCGATTTGCAAGAACGGGAATAAGGCGTTTCAAAAATGGTCGAGGGCTTGGATGTTACCAATTTCAATCGCATTTGCGGGTTTCGCCCAATTCTTTGGCCTGAATGCTATCAGATTCATTTTCCCGGAAAATCGACAAATTCATTTTCTGCTGATTTATTGGATCTCCGTTTGGACAGTCATCATCGGCTTCGCTGGGGATTTTCTTTTTATTTCAATAAATGCAGCCACAACCAATGCATTTTCAGCCATCAACACTAGTCTGGAGACAGTATTGAACAATGGAAACTCGTGGATGCAGACTGATTCAGAAAATATAGATTTCCTGAGGCATCAACACGCGAAACTGCGTAGAATTTGCAAAGGGACTGGGGACTGCTTTGCATCTTGGATGATCGTCACCACTGGGTATTTTCTGACAAACCTCTTCATCAGTGCACTCGTGATATTTTTCGCATTGCAACTTGAAAAAGAGCTGGAAATGGTCGTGAAAGTGAACGTTAATATGGCTGTGATTTGTTTGGCTCCAAGCATGGTTTCCGTCGGAACGCGTATTTGGGCCTTGGCAGAGAGTGCAAAAAGTGTGAATGAAGAGGTATTGTGGTAAAATATGGCTTTTCAAATTATCTGCGAAATTTGCATAATTGTGAGTCGATTTTTATGAAAGGCAGGAAAAACGGCTTTCATATTAAGCGAAGCTTGCTTACCGTGCGCAGCACATGGAATTCTGACAAGCAAGTGCTCGCAGGTTTGAATTAATTATATAGTAATGCATTTTTAATGCAAGAAAATTTCTTTAAGATAGCATCGTTTATCACAGGTGATGTTCTTCCAAGTTCAGCTTATCATTAACAAACCGGTC